TCCAACTCCTGGGCTCAAGCGAGTGTCCTGCCTCAGCCTCCCAAGTAGCTGGGACCACAGGTGCCCGCCACAACACCTGGCTGGCTATTTTTTGGTTGCAGCCATCATTGTTGTTTGGCGGGCCCGGGCTGGATTTGAACCTGCCACCTTAGTGTATGTGGCTGGCACCTTAGCCACTTGAGCCACAGGCACCAAACCTGGTTTCTAACTCTTAAACTCAAGCAATCCACTCCCCTCAGGCTCCTAGAGTACTAGGATTACAGGCATGAGCCCCAACACCCAACTCCTGATGATTTCCATTATGTGCATCCTTTACCCTGCCTGAACCTCTCAATGCCCAGCCACTCCCTAGGCATCTAGATAAGATTCAGGCAAGATGGGAACCAAACCCCCAGGGCCAACAGTGTTTGATGAAGGTGAGTAGATGCAGTCAAATTGACCAGGCCCAAAGACCAGTGTCAATGCCCCTCCACCCCCACCAGCACTCCACCACCCTCACATTAGCCAAAGCCTGAGGAACTGGTGAAGTTTTTATTAAATCCACAGAAGTAAAAACCATTTATCGTGTGGGACTTGGGGATGGAGCCACCAGGGAGTGGGAATCAGGCCACCAAGGGGGTGGGGATGGGGTGAAGGAGATAATAGACCCAGACTGGACTGGCCATGGGAGGCCCAGCCTCAGGGACCATCACCAGGGCCACCAGACAGCTCCTGGGAACTCAGACCAGCACTGGGCAGGCTCAGCGGCGGGGGTTCCACCAGCACAGCAGAGAACTTGGTGTCACCGAAGGCCTCATTCATGCGCGTCTCGAAGAAGCGCTGCAGGCCGATGATGGACTGCACATCCGCCTTGTCCTGGGCCAAGCAAGGATGGGGTGGGTAGGTGGGTCCTGACTCTTTACCAACTTCTACCTGCCAACAACACCCCTAGTTCATGGGCTCACCTCAGTCAACTTGTTGAACTGCTTGAACATGCGGCCCACATCCTGGGCAAACTCCTGGGGGGAGCTGTAAGGGGGTGACAACTTCTCCTGGAGGCGGGCGCGGATCAGGGTCAGGTCTAGGGTGCCACCAGGCTGGTCCTACAGGCAGAGACCACATACACAGGTTGAGAATAAGACCAGCCCTTATCACCACCCCTTATCTTTCCTGTCCCAGGACTCACCAGGGAGAAGGTAGAGTCGGTAGCCAACTGATGCAGGGGGCGGCAAGGTTCATGACAGAACAGGGCCAGCAGAACACGCTCACATTTCTACAGATAGTACAATACATATCACGACTCTGAACAACCCCCATCAAACCTGTGAGCAACCCTCACCTGAGCAGCCCCTGCCCTCACCCGCTGGTTGGCTGGTGAGAGTTTGGCCACCACACCAGAGCTGTCTGCAGCATCCAGGCTGAGGTTGCCATCCTCCTCCTTCAGGTCTGGCAACACATGACACAGTGAGCAGCTCCACTCCTCCCTATAGGGAAGAAAATAATGGGCTGCACAAAAACCTGTCCAGCAACCCCCTGCCCTGCCTGAACCCCACCAAGCCTTGCACTCACCCTGGTACATCCTGCAGGGCAGGAAGGTGGCAGTCTAGGTGGAAGCAAAACTCACACTGGTTGCACATGACCAGGTCACCCGGCTTCTGGCAGACACGGCAAATGGTAGCACTGTCATCCAGGGTGCCTGGGCCACCACCAGGGGCTGAGGTGCCTTCAGGAGCCACCACTTCCAGGCCTGAGCTGGTGCTGCCACTGGGTGAGGCCAGGCGGGGACCCTCAGCACTGGGACCCTCAGACAGAGCGACTAGCACAGGTTTGGTCTCCGGGCCCTCTGTGGCAGGAGGGGCTCCAATGGCGGCCTCTGTCTCTTCCTCCTGCAGTAGTGAGTAAAAAACATTGCTCAACAGGATCCACACCTGGGTAATAGCCATGATGCTGTAGTCAGGTCCCCTGGGACTGGCTCACCTTGACGATGGCCATGCCTGGTAATGGTGGGGCACCAGGGGTTCCCGGAGGCGCAGTCCCGGGCTGTCCAGCAGCTGCAGCAGCAGCGCCCCGTTCAATAACGATAAGGTTATAGTCCTCAGTGGTACTGCCTGGGAAGACCTTGAAGACGGGTGGCTGGCTATCAGCTGTGAGATCCAGGTCTAAGCGTTCAAGGCTCACTCGTGGCACCTTTCGCATGAGGCCGCTCACCTCACCCTCACCTGAGCGGGACCTACAGATGCAACTTCATGTGAACCCCAACCCTTCATCTATCCCCACCTATCCTCCAACTAGGGAACTGTCACACTCACCGCTTCACGCCTGACACATGGGGCTCTGCACTTGAGTAGGGATCATCTGCATAAAGGACAAAAAAAATGACCAACAAGTTGGGTTGAACAAGGCACACTGGAACCTTCCATATCCACCAGGCAGATCTACTCACCTGATCCAAAGCCATAGCCTTCCTGCACCTCCATGGGCTACAAAAAGAGCAGATCAGATGGCCCTCAGTGGGGCAAGAGCCCTATGGGATCTCACACCCTGCCCCTTTCCCCTCCTCTTCCTTCCTGCTCACCTGGCCACTGCCAGAGCCCTGCTTGCTCAGGGTCCCTGGGGCTCTCGGAGGGGCCATGGGTGCAGGGCCTGTTGAGTTGGTGCCAGGACGCTCTGCCACAATCTTCCCTGTGAGAATAAGAATGCAGCATTAAGGATGTGCAGCACCGAGGGTGATAACAAGATATAGATGAGGCAGAAGACAGACCCACCAAAGGCCTCAGCACTTTTGGTCCAGGCATTGAGGTCCCACTGAAACTTCATCTCTCCATGTGGTTCCACAGGATCCACAATCATCTTGAGGGCCCGATGCAGCTGGAAGTAGATCTGGGTAGGGTAGGAAATGAGAATACCATGAACAGGGGTAAATGGGGCTGGGGCCACCTGTGTGGAACCCATCACTGGAGAACCCACAAGCACATACCAACTTCTTAGAAAGCAGTAGGGCTGTGTTGTTGTCACTCTCCAGAGCCCAAGAGGCAAAACGCAAGATGTGCTCCTGGTGTTTCTGGATCTTAGTCATGGTCCAGTGCTGCCGCTCCAGACGCTCCTGCTGCCCCTCAGTCACCTTCTGTGGGTGGAAAGAGCAGGCATAAAGATCAGCAAGGACAGGAAAACAGCAGAATCTCTCCCCACTCTGGACAGACTCAGGAATCAGCAGAGCAGACCCAGGGACCCTCTTGCCAACACAAGGCTGACCTGAGCATCATTGACCAGTACACGGCCCCGCTTGTTCAGTTCCTTCATGATTTGCAGGATGGCCATCTTGACATCCACCTGCACACGCTTCTGTACGTCAGATACCTGGCGGATCCTAGGAGGCACAGCAGGTCAAGGCGGGCAGGATCTCACCTGGAGACCACCCCCATAGCTCTGGCACCCATACTTACGAGCTGCGAACCTCCTTGGTGCTCTTTTGCAATGTTGCATGTTTGTCCCCAAGGCGCTTCACCAGGGAGGCCAGGAGCTTTCGCTGGTTCCTCACTGCATCCTCTAGGAACTGGTACCTGAGAACAAAGATGGGCTTGGGTGCTGAACCTGGGAATCAGTGCCTGCCACCCACCCAACCATGCCTTGAAACTCACTGGTGGTCCTTGTGGGCATTAAGCTGGCAGTCTCGGCAAGTGAGGGTGTCACAGCTCTCACAGAACAACACAAGGGGTTCATGCTTATGCACGTTGCAATAGACAGTACGCTCACCATCCCGAGATTTGGCTGGCCCTAGAGAATAGAAAACCAAAAGCTGAAGCTTGCCCTTGCCCCCCAAAACTCAGGCAGCAGATGGAGCTTGAGTGTCATTTCCTCTCCTGCAACCTTGGGCCATCTACTGGGAAGACCTAGATGACACATGGCAGTGGCCAGGGGAAAGCACAGGACTGTACGCCTGTGTCCTTGCTCCCAGACCCTTCTGCCCTGGCCTACCAGGAAAAACACTCTGTTCCTTCCAACTTCTGGGGGTGTCAACATAAAGGATGACAGTCTCTAGGGCACCCATACTTCTCTCCCTACCAAAAACATCTCAAAGTAGAGAATCTCACAATTCTGCCTACGGAACACTCTCTACTTGGTACCCTTTATCCTCTGTTCATGGTAACCCCCTTCTGTTTGCTAACAAAACACCAGGGTCACTTACAATTCGAGGGCCCAGAGGAAATCTTGCAGAGCCTTCCCAGACTGATAAAGATAAGATGTCAGACCAGGACCCTCAGAATGGTGTCAGGCCCCTTCTGTGGGTCAGGATCCTGCTGGTCAGAATTAACTCAAAAAACTCATACACCAGTAACCTCCAAAACCTACTTCCCCACAAAACCTGATCTGGCACTTTAGCCCCCAATGGACCAACGAAACGAACAACATGTAGTTATCAAAACACAGGTGAGGGGTGGTGCCCGTGGCTCAAAGGAGTAGGGTGTGGCCCCATATGCCAGAGATTTAGGGTTCAAACCCAGCCCTGGCCAAAAACTGCAAAGAAAACCAACCCACACAGATGATCCAAGCCTTGGCTTCCCCAATGCCACCCATTCCTCCAACCTCTGGAATGTAGGTTGCTGTGCAGACCCTTGCCCATCTCTCGATTCCTCAGGCATCTAAGTCTCCATTTCTACCCCCACCTACCCCCAAGTGGTACCCTAAGGAATGGAGGGAATCAAGCACAATTAAAAGATTAGTCATAAGAAAGTTCTAAGAAAAATATCAGATTAGATAGACTTTCAAGCCTATTTCCATACCAGAAACAGCATGTACACAATAAAACCTGAAAACCCCTAACTAAGCTTCTCAGAGACTGCTGACAACCCATAGTTCCCAAACACTTCCCAAACTCAACATCACTGACCACTCAAGGGGACATGTGAAGCTTTGTCAACCAACAAGCCCAGTCCTGAAGCCTGTCTCTACAAAAATATTAACCGGGTACCAAAAAACCCCAAATACAGTAAGCTCCTCACATTATGCCTTGCCTTTCCTGCATACGAGCCTACGAGCCTACGAGCCTCCTGAAACCCTCTGTACTCCTGCAGCATTCTATAGTCTCCTGTGCCTCTCCTGCCCATGGGCATTCTTCTAAACAAACCCCCAGAAACTGCACCATAGAGCCCTGCCTCCCTGATTTTGGAGTTCAGCACTCGGGCCCTTCAGGTGGCTCCCCTAGAGCACAGCTGTAGGACCCATCCATTGAACAATCAGTATCATAAGCTGAGAACACACAAAGGAGAACAGCACTAACAGCCTCCTAGGCCTCACATACCAGTAGAACGCACAGTGTGGTCCTTGGTGTACTTCACCCGCTGGTGCGCCTCTACGCAAGTCTCACACAGTGGCTCAGAGCATTCCACACAGTAGCTGGTGGCTGGTGCATTATCCTCACAGCTAGTGCAGCACTGCCAGGCAAAGGCAGGGTCAGAGAAGGCAGATCAACCTGGTAAGTCCACATTTACATCCCAGGAAACACAACCTGAGAAGATTGGTCCCTTGATCCAGACTAGGAAACCCGCCCAGAGCCTAGGAATGGAAAGAGTTAACACCTGGAACCTGATACCAAGTTCCTCCCAGACAGATGCCCCCTACCCATAGCCAGAGACCAGCTAAGGCTTGCTAAGGTAGGACTCACCTGGTTTGCATCCTGGGCATCAGTGGCAGCTTTGCTGCCACTATCACGCATGAAGTAATTCTCTACGATGTCTCTGGAGAAGCATTGCTGCTTGCACACAGGACAATCCACCACTGTGAGGAGCAAGAATGTATGAGACCATGGCCTTGTGCCCTTGTCCCCCTACTGGGCGCTGATTAGCAGCCCACCAGCAGCCCAGACCCTCTTCTTCCCAGCCTTCTTTCCTCCAACTGAAGTCAGACACACCGCCTCAGTAATCAGCCCAGACCCTTGACCCCATGCAGGGCCCAGAACCCTCTTCCCGTGCACGACCAGGCAAGCTCTGTGTAGGCCCCCATCCCTTGGCCCAGATGCACCCCCATCTCCGCACCAAGACGGAGTAGGAGGGAGTGGGGGAGGGGTGGCGCCCAGCCTCTCGGTACTCACCGGCACTGTCGCCTGCCGCACCGCCGTCCCCCGAGCTGTTGGCGGCGGCGGGCGCCGCGGGCCCAAGGCAGGCACTGCAGGCCGAGTGCAGGCAGGGTAACAGGCGCGGCTCCCTCTCGGGCCGCAGGCGCTCCCGGCACACGCCACAGTGCTCCAGCAAC